GAGGGTGGAGATGTTAGACGAGGCTTCAACACTGTGTAGACACTGTTGGTGCTTTCTGAACTAAACTGAACCACTTCCTCTACAGAAGCACTGACACGGCGCAGGGTTCATTCATTCAGACACAAACACTCATCTGTGATGTTCTAATGTCCATCACATGAAAGAACTGACCAAGAAGGTGACGCGTCTCATCAAAGCAAATCACAGCCTATTGGACAATAAAGTCTGCAAATACCTGACACATGACGAGGTGAACGGGGGTGAAAATGATCGTAAAATAAAAGTAAAATAATAGTTATTTCAGTAAATCTGTCGTGAGCTCCGCTTGGGGTTTGAGCCGAACAGAACAGACCTGTGTTTGTTTCTCTGTGGTTCTGTGATGGACAGAGACACTGTGACAGATCTGAGCCTCGTGCTCCTCCTGCTCTTCGCTCTACATGAGACGCACCAAATGACACAGTCGATTTGTCGCTCACATGACTTTTCTTCAAGTGAAACTCAGACACGGCTCTACAGACGTCACCACCTGAGCTCCACACAAGAGTCGACCTGTTCACTCGTTTGGCCCAACACGAGCTGGAGGCTTCAGCTTAAAATGAAGCTCAGGAGCCGATTCACACGACACACAAACTCCATCAGTCCTCACATGGACTCTGATGGATCCTGCAGATCAAACCAACACACCACACACACCTGGAGTTACACACAGCTCTGGGAGGAAAATAAAAGACCTGAGGACTGAGCTCTGCTCAAGAGTAAAGATGAAATTCCTCGTGGTTGATGTCGGCGTTTCTCTCTCTCCTCTCTGATCCCTCTTTTCTTTCTTTCTCTTTCTTTCAGGAGTAAAGATCGTTTTCCGCGTGGGCCTGGTTCTTCTCAAGCAGATGTTGGGTTCTGTAGATAAACTGCGAGAGCTTCAGGGGATGTACGAGACCATGGAACGTCTGAGGAACATCTCCCCAGACCTGATCCGCGAGGACATGCTGGTGCAGGAGGTACGACAGACACTTTAGACCTGGTGTAGACCTGGTGTAGTCCTGGTGTAGACCTGGTGTAGTCCTGGTGTAGACCTGGTGTAGTCCTGGTGTAAGAGACCTGGTTTAGACCTGGTGTAGACCTGGTGTTAGTAGTCCTGGTGTAGACCTGGTTAGTTAGTCCTGGTTTAGTCCTGGTTTAGTCCTGGTTTAGTCCTGGTGTAGTCCTGGTTTAGTCCTGGTTTAGTCCTGGTGTAGACCTGGTTTAGTCCTGGTGTAGTCCTGGTGTAGTCCTGGTAGTCCTGTTTAGTCCTGGTTTAGTCCTGGTTTAGTCCTTGGTGGTAGTCCTGGTTTAGTCCTGGTTTAGTCCCTGGTTTAGTCCTGGTGTAGTCCTGGTTTAGTCCTGTGTTTAGTCCTGGTGTAGTCCTGGTTTAGTCCTGGTGTAGTCCTGGTAGTTTAGTCCTGGTTTAGTCCTGGTGTAGTTTAGTCCTGGTGTAGTCCTGGTGTAGTCCTGGTGTAGTCCTGGTGGTCCTGGTAGTCCTGGTTTAGTCCTGGTTTAGTCCTGGTTTAGTCCTGGTTTAGTCCTGGTTTAGTCCTGGTGTAGTCCTGGTGGTAGTCCTGGTGTAGTCCTGTTTAGTCCTGTAGTCCTGGTTTAGTCCTGGTTTAGTCCTGGTTTAGTCCTGGTTTAGTCCTGGTGTAGTAGTCCTGGTTTAGTCCTGGTGTAGTCCTGGTTTAGTCCTGGTTAGTCCTGGTTAGTCCTGGTTTAGTCCTGTAGTCCTGTAGTCCTGGTTTAGTCCTGGTGTAGACCTGGTTTAAGTCCCTGGTGTAGTCCGTTTAGTCCTGGTTTAGTCCTGGTGTAGTCCTGGTGTAGTCCTGGTTTAGTCCTGGTGTAGTCCTGGTTTAGTCCTGGTGTAGTCCTGGTGTAGTCCTGGTGTAGTCCTGGTTTAGTCCTGGTTTAGTCCTGGTTTAGTCCTGGTTTAGTCCTGGTTTAGTCCTGGTGTTTAGTCCTGGTTTAGTCCTGTAGTCCTGGTTTAGTCCTGGTTTAGTCCTGGTTTAGTCCTGGTGTAGTCCTGGTTTAGTCCTGGTGTAGTCCTGGTGTAGTCCTGGTGTAGTCCTGGTTTAGTCCTGGTGTAGTCCTGGTTTAGTCCTGGTGTAGACCTGGTTTAGTCCTGGTGTAGTCCTGGTGTAGTCCTGGTTTAGTCCTGGTGTAGTCCTGGTTTAGTCCTGGTTGTAGTCCTGGTTTAGTCCTGGTTTAGTCCTGTGTGTTTAGTCCTGGTGTAGTCCTGGTTTAGTCCTGGTTAGTCCTGGTTTAGTCCTGGTTTAGTCCTGGTGTAGACCTGGTGTAGTCCTGGGTTAGTCCTGGTGTAGTCCTGGTTTAGTCCTGGTGTAGTCCTGGTGTTAGTCCTGGTCCTGTAGTCCTGGTGTTTAGTCCTGGTTTAGTCCTGGTGTAGACCTGGTTTAGTCCTGGTGTAGTCCTGGTGTAGTCCTGGTTTAGTCCTGGTGTAGTCTGGTTTAGTCCTGGGTTAGTAGTCCTGGTGTAGTCCTGGTGTAGTCCTGGTGTTTAGTCCTGGTTTAGTCCTGGTCCTGTAGTCCTGGTTTAGTCCTGGTTTAGTCCTGGTGTAGTCCTGGTTTAGTCCTGGTTTAGTCCTGGTGTAGTCCTGGTTTAGTCCTGGTGTAGTCCTGGTTTAGTCCTGGTTTAGTCCTGGTGTAGACCTGATAGTTCCCTTTTTCTCCTCAGATCGTGACTCTTCCCGTCACTGAGGCTTTGATCGAGCGCGAGTGCAGCGTCCAGGTGAGAAAATGGCGGGAGTCTCGCGGCGAGCTGACGCACGAGCCCGGACGCCGCCTCCACGGGACCCGCCACATCTACGAGCACAAACGCCGCGCCGTCGCGCTGGCCTCGGGGGGGTCCTACTCCTTTTTAGGCAGCCCGATCCCGCCCCCCGGCCCCCTGCGCGCCTCGTCCAGCCTCCTGTCGCTGCCCGGCTTCAGGAGGTCCAAGACGCCGTTCAGCGCGCAGCCCAAAAAAGCCTCCTTCTCTGGGCCGTCTCGCTCGGAATCGCCGCCTCAGTCTCCTCCGGCGTCCGGCCAGACCTTCGCCAAACCGCCGCTCCCCCCCTCCCAAGCCCGGCACACACGTCCAGAGCCCGCTGGCCACGACCGAGACGAAAACGGAACCCGGCAAAGCGCAAAACACGCTGCACGCCGCCAACACGCTGACGCCCTCGCCCAAAATCGTGTCGGAGCAGATCACGCCAAAAATCCCCTCCCCCACGGCGAACAACGCGCCTCTGCCGCCGTGTCCCGCGGAGACGCCGGCCACGCCCAAACCCGAGGAGGCGGCGGCGACGGAGGAGGGCGGGAAGAAGGGCGGGAAGAAGACGAAGGAGGACAAGAGGAGGGAGAAGGAGGACGAGAGGAAGAGGGCGAAGGAGAAGAGGGAGAAGGAGAAGGCAGAGAAGGAGCGGTTGAAAAAGGAGAAGGAGAGACAGGAGCGAGAGAGGAAGAGGAGCGCGAAGAAGAAGCAGCACGGCGGCGCCAGCGGAGGAACGGAGGAGGTGGGCGGAGCTACGGCGGCGAAAGACGGCGTCTAGAGTTATTTAAAAAGGACGCACTGCTCAACAAGGAAGACATGACTTCAGTTTGGAATCAGAGTTACAGTTTTTGACTAATTTCTACTTAGTTTCAGCTTTCTGAAGACTTATTTCCTGCTCTGCTAACGGCGTAAACAAATGCACAATTTACATATTTCAAGCAAAAGTTTAGAAACCTCTTAGAACAAACTGCAGCGCTCGTAAACGCAGTTCGAGTTTAGTCAGAAATACGAAAAAAATCGAAATTCTTGTTCTGAATTTAAGTCGTGTTTGAGCTTTTGTTTTGCAGAAAAGACGTGGCCACTTCACTGAGCAGAACTGGACGAGAGGACGAGCAGATTCCAAAAGATTAAAGACGCAAAAATGTTAAATTTAATCTCAGTTTGACTCAGTTGTCGAAATAAAAACTCATTAACGAGGGGGTATCGCGCAAAATCGTTTCTGTTTTCGCTTTCTCCCGTGTTCTAACGTCGTTCCCTCGTCACAAACCTGCCTGGAGAGGTTTTAGAGTCGTCCATGCGTGTTTGAGTCATCTAGGGATCTCTCCCGGGGTCTGTTCTGTTCGAGGCTCCGCCCACAAGCCCACGTCACCCAGGCTCCCACCACAACTCTATAAATGCACAAAAACGTGACGCAAAACTGCGATGACGACTTGACGAATCTGATGTGACGCGCAGGAGTTTCTGAAAGTGTTGTGTTCTTGTAGCGCTCTGAAGGGGGAGCGAGTTAGCAGAGGGAGCAAAGGCAGGGTAGAAACTTATAAAACATATTAATAATTTGTTTTGGGTGAATATAGTCTTTTCAGAACAATAAAAGCAACACAATGATCTAAATATGTGACGTGTTAAGCTGCGTTCAGACCGCGGCGTCAAAAACTCGCTGGTTTGAGTCATCTAGGGATCTCTCCCGGGGTCTGTTCTGTACGAGGCTCCGCCCACAATCCTACGTCACCCAGGCTCCCTCACGACAACTCTATAAATGCACAAAAAACACGACCTGGACGCTTTGACTCTTCCTTCTGAACGCAGCTTCACCGTTAATACCCCAGAGAAGTATAATACTCCCTACAGACCTGTCCGGTTCTGCTCAGTTCGGTCTCTGCGTTGTTGCGTTTTTAGAATCTTCCTTAATCTAAAACTGGATGTGGGTTAAAGCGCCTGGATCCTCGTTCGGACTGTCGAAAACACAGCCGCCATTTTAGGATTTTGTTTTTGGTTTTTTTGTTGTTTTCTTTTTTTGTTTTTGTTTTTTCTTTTTGTAATTGTGTTTTTATTATTTTATTGAATTCTGTGGTCAAAGACATTGTCAGAAACGTGCCACAGCGTTGCTCTGTAAATAATTAACTGCATTAATATAGGAGACGAAAACGCCGCAGAAACACGCCCCCGCTCAAACGGCCGCCGCTCACAGACCGCCGCCGCTCACAGACACGCCCCCGCCCTACCGCCCGCCGCTCACAGACACGCCCCCGCCGCTCACAGACACGCCCCCGCCGCTCACAGACACGCCCCGCCGCTCACAGACACGCCCCCGCCGCTCACAGACACGCCCCCCGCCGCTCACAGACACGCCCCCGCCGCTCACAGACACGCCCCCGCTCAAACGGCCGCCGCTCACAGACACACCCCCTGCCGCTCACAGACACACCCCCGCCGCTCACAGACACGCCCCCGCCGCTCACAGACACATGCTTTATTTACATTTACAAACTTTATTTTTATTTTAATTATCGACGCCTGGAACTTTTACAGAGAAATGGGTCCAAAAAACACAGATGAAAAGCCCTCGGTTTAAAAACAGGACTGAAACAGCACGAAATGAAGTCTTAGATTCACTTTACGTCAAGATCTGTTTAAGACCTGGTTTAGACCTGGGTTAGACCTGGTTTAGACCTGGGTTAGACCTGGTTTAGACCTGGGTTAGACCTGGTTTAGACTTAATTCAGTCCAGGTTTAGGTCTAGGTCCAGGTCGTCCAGGATCATTGTTTAGACTAAAGTTAAACCAGATTTAATCTTTATTTACTCCTTGTCGACTCTTGGTTTAGTCCTGGTTTAGTCCTGGTTTAGTCCTGGTTTAGTCCTGGTTTAGTCCTGGTTTAGTCCTGGTTTAGACCTGGTTTACTCCTTGTCAAGTCCTGGTTTAGACCTGGTTTTAGACCTGGTTTAGTCCTGGTTTAGACCCAGTTTAGACCTTTTGTAGACCTTTTTTAGACCTGGTTTGGTCCTAGGTTTAGACCTGGTTTAGACCTGGTTTAGATCTGGTTTAGTCCAGGTTTATGCATTGTTTAGACCCAAGTTAGACCAGATTTAATCTTTGTTTACTCCTGTCTAGTCCTGGTGTAGACCTTGTTTTAGTCCTGGTTTATTTGTGGTTTAGTCCTGGTTTGGTTCCAGGTTTATTAATCCACAACAAAAATGAATTCATAAGGATTTTAAACCTTGATTTGAGGAAAAATCAGCTGTAAAACATTTAGACTCTCGAGGCCGATGAAGGAAACACTGAGCGGAAAATCTTTTAACTGAAATTGATTATTTTCCGTCAGACTGAAGCCTCTGAAGTGAAGTCTGGTCGCTCGTGCGTTTGTGCGTCGCTCGTGTGTTTGCGCGTCGCTCGTGTGTTTGTGCGTCGCGTGTTTGTGCGTCGCTCGTGCGTTTGCGCGTCGCTCGTGTGTTTGTGCGTCGCTCGTGTGTTTGTGCGTCGCTCGTGTGTTTGTGCGTCGCGTGTTTGTGCGTCGCTCGTGCGTTTGCGCGTCGCTCGTGTGTTTGTGCGTCGCTCGTGTGTTTGTGCGTCGCGTCGTGCGTTTGTGCGTCGCTCGTGCGTTTGCGCGTCGCTCGTGCGTTTGCGCGTCGCTCGTGTGTTTTGTGCGTCGCGTGTTTTGTGCGTCGCTCGTGCGTTTGCGCGTCGCTCGTGCGTTTGCGCGTCGCTCGTGCGTTTGCGCGTCGCTCGTGTGTTTGTGCGTCGTGCGTTTGCGCGTCGCTCGTGCGTTTGCGCGTCGCTCGTGCGTTTGCGCGTCGCTCGTGCGTTTGCGCGTCGCTCGTGTGTTTGTGCGTCGCTCGTGCGTTTGCACGTCGCTCGTGCGTTTGCGCGTCGCTCGTGTGTGTTTGTGCGTCGCTCGTGCGTTTGCGTCGCGTGCGTTTGCGCGTCGCTCGTGTGTTTGTGCGTCGCGTTGTTTGTGCGTCGCGTCGTGCGTTTGCGCGTCGCTCGTGTGTTTGTGTGCGTCGCGTCGTGCGTTTGTGCGTCGCTCGTGCGTTTGCGCGTCGCTCGTGTGTTTGTGCGTCGCTCGTGTGCGTTTGCGCGTCGCTCGTGTGTTTGTGCGTCGCTCGTGTGTGTTTGTGCGTCGCGTGTTTGTGCGTCGCTCGTGTGTTTGTGCGTCGCTCGTGCGTTTGTGCGTCGCTCGTGCGTTTGTGCGTCGTGTGTTTCTGCGGCGTTTGTAACAGGCACTGATCTTATTTATTGTTCTTAATGTCGTGAGTCGTGGTGAAACCGTGTTACTGTAAAAACCTCATTGTTTAAAAACCCCCCACGCCGCCGCCGCCATTTCCACTCCACGCAGCAAAGAAAAACCCCCCGAAGTGTCTGCGCGAGCTCAAGTCACCGAGAAACTCGACTCTGACCTGGACCTGAGTCGTTTTAATGTGAAACGTCTCAATAAAAAACGGTAAAAACAGAAGAACTGCAGTGATTTTAGCTGGTGTGGGTTTGTTTTTGCGGCGTGGACTTTGAGTTTGAAATGGCTTGAGAAGGAACAGTGTGGAACATTTCTGCAAAGACAAAATGGAAGTTAAACCTTTTTTTTTTTTTTTTCTGTAAAAATCTGGACACTGTAAAAATCGACACCTGCGTTACTGAAAATGACCTCATCCGCGGTGATTTGAAGTTTATTATTTAATCTCATTTATGTTTTTTGGTTTAGGCAGGTCAGATTTTTCTCTTTAATCTGCAGATGTGGTGGTTGTGTCAGATGCCCTCCCACTCCCAGCCTCATGAATCCCTGTAGTGTAAAGGCCGACGCACCACAGGAGAAACTGGCCGATTTCGGCTGCGATTTATGAAGACGTGACCTGATTTTGTGTCTTCGTACATGATTTTGAAGCTGCGTGTCGTGATCAGTGTTGGGATTAACGTGATATAAAAGTTTAGAGTCACTGTGCTGCAGTAATGTGGCGTTACAGCGGAAAAAATATGAATATTTGACTCGGTACAAATGTGAGTAATGCGCATCACAAAGCTTTTTTAATTTGGATTGAAGTGCTGTTTTTTTCTTCACTCAAATTCGCTAAAATCACGGTGACATCAGCAGCGGTGAAAAGCCAGAGACACGCCCATGTAGACCGTCAGGTGACCGCGAGCGAAAGGATCAGCGCAGAACTTCGTGCTCCACAGGGTGAAGAGCAGCTGATGCCCGATCGCGTCTTGGAGACACTCTGTTCCACGGGCTCGGGGTTCTCTCAGGGGCGGAACTAGATTCCGAGTTCTAGTCCACGATTAGTCTTGGTTTAGTCCTTCTTTAGTCACATGTCTGTTTCCACACAGAGCACAGATCGAGCTGAAGCTGAAGCTGAAGCTGAAGCTGAAGCTGAAGCTGAAGCTGCAGATTCTCCACAGTGACTCAACTTCCCCAACACTTTATCTCCAAACTTTGACGCTTTAAAAATCCTGGATCTGAAGTTTGGCTCCACATTTCTCAAATAATAATCACACAGTTTGAACTTGTGTTATTAGGTTCTTTTTTCCAACTGAGTGGGACTGCAGGTGGCGCTGTCGTCCTGCCTCCTCCGGTTAGAAGACAGAGACAAAACCTGTTTAAATCATCTGAGCGTCACGAGACTCTGAGGAAGACGCAGGGAGCAGAACAAACTGTTGGTCTGAAAAAAGAACCTAATAACATAAATGATCGAAGACCAAGTGAACCTCACTGGACAGTTTGGATTTGTGTCGAAACTCGAAGTTCAGAGTCTGATCTTTGACACTTCAGAGTCTCAGAGCGACGGGAGACGGGACACAGATCCCACTGCAGTCTGGAGAGATCGGAGATTTAAAGTCTCATCAGATTCTCCTCGTGTCTTTGCTCTGGGATTTTTGTCTCACGTTTAAAAAATCGTCTGCGACTGAAACATCCTGTGGTGTGTGTCGACCTTTACACTGAGACGGGAGCAGCTCGTTTGTGTAAAAACCGTTATTCTCATCGTTTTACGCCTGAAGTCATGAAGTCTTGAATCCTGTGAAGTTATTTTTTTCTGTTTGCCGCAGGTGTGATTTTTACTCTGTCCTGGTTTCACTCGAGTCCAGACCAAAAAAAACTGAACAAACTTTTTTATTTCTTAAGTGTTTCTGGAAAAATACAACAAATGATTAACGACTTTAACAGACACAACAGAAAGACCACAGACGGTTCAGGCCGGAGAGGAGTCAGGATAGACCTGGTTTAGACCTGATTTAGACCCGATTTGGACCTGGTTTATTTAGTTCTCATTTACACTTAGTATTAAAACTGGAATCAACTCACTATCACCGTGTCCTTGGGCAACACACTCCTTTCTCCTCTGAGCTGTGTGAGGGTCTGAAGCCGCAGATCGCCCGCCTCTCTGCGCTCGATCTGCCCCGGGTCGACTCTGCCCTCTGAGTCTGGTCTCTGGTCTCTGGTCTCTGGTCTCTGGTCTTTGGTCTTGTGTCGTTTTGTGGATGAAATTCAAATGTTTTTGAGTCTGAACAAAATGAAGAATCTGAAGTTTGCACTTAAAATCACCACTGAGAAAAACATGAGAAGGAACCTGAAGGAACACGACAGCAGAGGCTTCGAACGACAAAACTCACAACGTTACACAGACTTAAAGACTTTATTTTGATCCACTTTTTGTCCAACGTTTTCCTTTTTCCGGCAAATATGTGACCAGAGTAAATCTAGAAACAGACGAGTGGTTTTATTTAAGAGGAGGTCGTTTTCTCTCATGTTCTAACATCGTCCCCTCGTCAAAAACACGTCTGAAAAGGTCTTACAGCCATCCGTGTGAGTTTGAATAATCTTGCGATCTCTCCTGGTCCCTATTCTGTACGAGTCTCCGCCCACAAGCACGACAACTCCAAAAATACACAAAAACCTGACGCAAAACTGCACGCGGCGACTCGACAAACCCGACGCTACGTGCAGGAGTTTTTTCTGAGTGTTGTGGTAGCGCTCTGAAGGGGGAGTGACTTAGCACGGGGAGCAAAGGGAGGAGAGAAACTTGTGAACGCGTGTTAATGTTATTGCGTTGTTTTGGGCAAATATCAAAATTTAAAATGATAAAAAGAACGTGGTGATGTAAATATGTGACGTGTTAAAGTTAATACACCAGAGAAGTATAATACTCCCTACAAAAAGGAATGGGAGCGTCTCAGATCTGTGTAATCCTGTGAGTTTTTGTCGTTTTTTTCCTCTGCTCTGTGTTTTT